TTTTCTTGTAATATCTGTCTGATTTTAGCATCAGGTTGATGCTAACATAAATGAATTAGGAAGTATTCTGACATCCTCAATTTTTGGAAGAGTTTGTGTAGCAACAGTATAACTTGCTTAAATGTTTGGTAGCATTCATCAGTAAAATCATCCAGACCTGGAGTTTTCCTTATGGTAAGATTTTAACTACAATTTAAATGTTTTTAGTTGATATAGGGCCACTGAAGTAATTGATTCCATCTTTAGTGGGTTTTGGTAGTTTGTGTCTTTCAAGGAATGTGTCTAGTTTATCTAAGGTATCAAATTTATTGGCATAAAGTTGTTTATAACATTCTCTTACTATCCTTTTAATATTTGTTAGGTCACCTCTCTCATTCCTGATATTGGTAATTTGAATATTCTCTCCATTTTTCCTGAATAGTCTAACTGGAGGTTTATTACTTTTTCTTAAAGCATTATATTTTGATTTCAATGATTTTTGTTTTCTATTTTATTGATTTCTGCATTTATCCTTATTATTTTCTTTCTCCTACTTAGTCTTGCTTTTTTTTTGTTTTTGAGACAGCGTCTCACTCTTGCTCAGGCTGGTTTCAAACTCCTGAGCTCAAGCGATCCTCTTGCCTTGGCCTCCCAAGGTGCTAGGATTACAGGTGTGAGCCACTGCGCCAGGCACTTCTACTTAGTTTTACTTGGCTTTTCCTTTTTCCAGTTTCTTAAAGTGGAAGCTGAAATCATTAATTGGAGACCTCTCTTTTTTTGAAATAGAGGGTTTTAAAAAATTCAGCCCCAAGCACTGCTTGAACTACATCCCATACATTGCTGTGACTGTTTCACAGTGGTTTAGGATTAATAGTATACTATATATATCCTTAAATTGCATCATGTTGTATATAGCATAAGAACCCCTCCCAGATATGGTTCTTTTTGTTGTACAATTTACTTATACAGGTTGTAAACCAAATGACACATTGTTTTTACTCTTGCTTGAAACAAGTATCTTCTAGGGACTTTAGTAAGAAAGTAGTCTATTACATGTGCCTACATATTTTATTTAGCACTTTGAGAGCTCTTCATTCTTAGAAGTAGACTTCCATCTGCAATTGTTTTCCTTTCAACTTTCCTTTAACATTTCTCATAATGCTAACCTGCAGTGGCAATGAATTCTTTCAGCTTTTATATGTCTGAAAAATCCTTTACTTCACCTTTGTTTTGGAAGATAATTTCACTGGATGCAGAATTTGAGGTTAAATTTTCTTCTTCCTTTAATGACATCAAAATGTTGCTGCAGTGTCCTCCTGACAAGGAGTCTCCTGTCTCATTCTTGTTGTTCTTTGTGTCATGATTTTCCTCCTGGCTGCTTTTAAAATGTTCTCTTAATCATTGATTTTAAGCAATGATGTGCCTTGATGTAGTTTTCTTCATGTTTCTTGTGCTCACAATTTGTTGAACTTTAGGATCTGTGGGTTTATAACTTTTGACAAATTTAGAAATTTTTCACCCATATTTTTCAAATATTTTTTCTGTTCCTTCTGCTCTCCTTTGATGACTTAATTACACACATATGCCAGCTGCAGTTGTCCCAGCTCACCAATTGTCTGCACATTCTTACTCAGTCTTCTCTGTTTCACTGAGAATAATTTCTATTGCTCCATCTTCAAGTTCATTCATCCTTTTTTTCTTTGCATCTCTAATCTGCTGTTAATCTCATTCAATATATTTTTCTTCTTGGAGATTTTAATTTTCTTGTACAGAGTTTAATTTGGATCTTTTCTGTATTTTTTGCGTTCTTAATAAGCTCAGTCTTTCCTCTACTCTTTGACCATGTGGAATATAGTTACCATAACTCATTTCATGTCCTATAAATTCTACCACATATGTTGTGTCTGGGTCTATTTCTGTTGACTGATTTTTCTTCTCATTCTAAGGTGGTCTTTTCTTGCTTCTCTGCACATCTAATAATTTGTAAATTTAATGCCATATCTTGTTTGGTGCTGGATAGTTTTGTAATCATGAAAGTATTCTTGAGTTTTGTTGCACAATACAATGAAGTTACCTGGATATAGTTTGATACTATTTGGCTCCCCTAATTAGGCAATACTGTCTTCTGAGTACCCGATGCTTCTGAATTATGAGATTTTTCTCCTTTGGTTGGTGGGCACTATTGCTGCCCCTGTGCGAGCCCTAGGGTTTGTTTCCTCTGCTCCATTCAGGCAGTTCTTTCTCTGGCCTCGGGTAGCTCATTCACATTCACAGACCCTTTGTGGATCTTCAGAATTTTCCCTACGTGCAGTGCTGTCTTCTCCGGTACACTGCCCTTTGAACTCTAGCCTCCTATGCTTCCCCTGGTCCCAATTCCATCTTTTCAATTCACGAGACTGCTAGGGTCCACTAGGCTGCTTCTCTCTGTGCTACAGCCTGGAAATCCCATCCAGTCAGTTGGCTGGGGCTCTTGTAAGGCTAACCTCTTTGGTTCCCTCTCTCAGGGGTTACTGTCCCATGCTTCCTGGTGTTCAGTGTCTGAGAACTACTGTTGCATATACTTTCTCTGGTTTTTTCAGTTGTTTCTCCTGGGAGCATAAATTAGGTCACTGCTGTTATTCCATCTTGGCTGGAAACAAAATGTTCTTATTTTATAGTGTAACAGCAAGAGAGAAAACAAGTGACTGTCCCAAAACAAAAATGGGTAAGGATGATTAATTGTCAAGTACGAAGAGAATAAATGACCTCTAAATTTGTGAAAAAAATGTTCGCACCTCACCAATAAACTAAAAATGTTAAAGTCATCTTTTTCTATTGTACTATTTAAAGAATATTTTATTAAATGTCTTTTCTGCATCCACTGAGATGATCATATTTCTGTTTTCATCTACTTTCTGGATGGTAACTTAGCAATACATATCAAAAAGTTCAAAAACATTCATGTTCTTTAATTCTAGTTTCAGAAATTCATCTTAGGAGAAAACGTAAGAGCTTGTATTTATAGTATTTCAATTCTAAGGTGGTTGCCTTTCAGATGTTAATATCTCTGAAGCATAAGTACATCTTAAAATTGATGCTGTTGTCAGAGTTTAATTTTCAGCATTTTTCTTAATGATACGTAAAATGGTACATTTTATAATCAATAGCATTTAGGTTCCATGAAATATGCTATGTACAAGAAGTCATCAAAGTATTGTTTGTAATAGGGAAAAACTAGTAAAAACCTACATAGAAAATAGATTAAACCATGGCATATCAGTTAGTCCATCTAATGACTTCAAAGCATAATTATTGCTCATGCAAACCATGTGAGGCCTGAAAAAAATACAAATAAGTTTGTTGTATACTTTTCGTACTTACAAGATCCTCCCCCTTGTCATCAAAATTTGGTTGAGGTAATCGCTCAGGAACTGGCGACTGCTCTAGTATGGAACTGACACCGCTTAAGTCCTTCTTGCAGACGGGTGTTCCTCCTTTACGCAGCGGAGTATTCGCTGGCAAAGACTCGTCAAACACTTCAGGGCTTAGGTCCTCTCCAAAAGTAACTCTCTTCCTCTTCCTTATATTTATAAAGGCCGGTGCTTTACAATTTTCTTGATCTTCTATAAAATAAATGGCAATACCTTAAAAAATTAAGCTGTATGTCTTATCCAAAAGGCATATACTAGGATATTTTAACATGATTATATTCAGGTATTATTCGTATAATAAAATACAGTTTGTAGAACAAATACAATACGGAAAAGATAAACAACTTTCCAATTAAATAAGGTAATAGATTTTAAAGTAAAATTTTGCATGAATACCTTAAAAGTTTATAAAATTGGAATATAAATTTTCTTTACAATTTCCATCATTAAGTAAAAATGGATAGGTGAAATGGATAGGCCAATTCTGAGGCCCTCCAAAGAGATTCTCTCCCTCCCAACTGTTCTTCATTCCCATGTAAATTCAGAAGCATCAAGGCATTAACAGATCATTGAAAATTCCATATACTACATCAGATTTTATTAACAAGAAAATGATATCCTCAGGCTTAAAAATAAATATGAATTTCTTACCCAGTTTTTGTTCTTTGTAACAATTTGCAAGATTTGAGATTAAATTTGAATGCATCGTATCATCAAAGAGGTTGTTACGATGTTCCTAAACAAAATAAACATCAATGAATGTTTACCTATAGAAAAATATATACATAGTTATTAAGAATGGCAATTTTGCGTTTTTTCCCACCAATGGCAAACAGATACTCTAGTCCTGAAGATTAACTTTATTTTCATAATCATTCTGGCTTAACACACCATGATACAAGCACAAATAAAAACAAGGCTCCCTAGGTATTACTTGAGAAGATGGTATTTTAGGCCAAAATTAAAGAACAGAAATCAATAAATTTGGGTTAAATTCATTCCATCTTTGATCTAGCAAATGAAGTTAAGGAACATGTAAATGGCTAGAATTACAGTGTACAGGCATCCCTTGGTATCCACGGGGAATTGGTTTTAGGACCCAGCAGATACCAAAACCCACAGATCAATTCCCTTATATAAAATGGCGTAGTATTTGCATAGAACCTACACGCATCCTCCCGTATACTTTAAATCATCTCTAGATTACTTATAATACCTAATACAATGTAAATGCTATGTAAATAGTTGTTACACAGTATTGTCTGTATTACTTTTTACTGTTGTGCTGTGATTTTTTTAAAATTGATTTTTTTCAGAATATTTTCAATCCATGGTTGGTTGAATCCATGGTACAGAACCAGTGGATATGAAGGGCTGAATGTACAATATATGGTGTCAGATAAGGAAAATTATATAAACGGTCTGAGATATAAGAATTGCACTAAAACAAGAAAAAACCCAATCAGGTTAAATGATATAATAGGGTGTTTTGTCTTTTCAACAAGGGAACCACACCTCTTATAAACGTTTAAATCTCCTGTCTACATCAGTATATTCTTGAGGAAGAAACAAAGAAAGAAGGTGGCATTTGCCCCTGTGTTTCTCCACCAAAAGATTACAGAGTAGGCAAGTTAGTAAGGAAAGGATATTGTAAACCTTATAGAAAAAGTTAGGGCAAGCCTAAATACCGGGCCACTAGAGTTCTGCCAGGTCTGTGGACAGATCAAAGTCTTCTCTTAGTCACCACCAGCTTGTCCAGTCCAGCATCAATCTGAAGCCCTGACCAGTCCTTGTTATTGAGAGTTATTCATTTTCTCCAATATACCCATTCCAAGAATAGCCCCTGCTCTAAGAAATAGTCCTGCGCCAAGGAAACCTCCTTAATCTATTCTCTCTCAAGTCAGTTCATTTTCTTGACCAATATAAGGAATACCAATATTGTGAACTAAGTTAACTTACACAACAAAGTTCATGTATACTTTTAGATTTATTTTTAATTAAAACCACAAAAATTAGCAAACAACTCAAATTTTTCTTTGTCTACCAACTGTGGCCATTTAGTATAAAGATCATTAGTTGTAAAAATCTTCACCTGATTCTAATGACAGGCCTTCATGTTTGCTGCGCCATACTGCTAATAAATAGGAGTTATACAGATCATTAATATGTCAAGGTCTCTTTGAGGAGAAGATAAACGAAAGATATGAACAAGCAATATTCTATGTATTACAGACCTAAATCAGCTCTTTAACCAAAATGCTGTTTAAACACTTAAAATAGCAACTGACTACCAATTATCCATGTAGATGGAAGGTAATTTAGTTCATTTTGGCTTTAGAAACAGATTTGTAGGCACAGTAATGTTAAAATGCTTATGGTTTGAAAAAAAGATTGGTATTTCTGATGTGCCAGGTACCGATGGCGATTTCATATTATCCCATTTAACGCTCAAATTACCGTGTAAGGTAATTACTAATATTATCCCTTTACGGATAAGGAAACCTGGCACAAAAAGGTTCAATAATTTGCCCAGCTATTAATTTGCAAGTCCAGATTTGAACTAGGCACTTGAACAAGTCAGACTTATCTGGGTTCACATAACAACCTGCAAACCTAAGTGTGTGTCGAATGGGGCCAATACTTTTCTTCAAGTACTGCTGTATACATGCCAGAACTATCAATGGAAACTACTCAAGAACTGCCAGCCAGTTTCCATCAATTTCCTCTTTCCTCAGGTTAACTCAGCTTAGGGAAAAAAGTACAGTTGTAAGAGGTATTTTTAAGACCAGATATTTTAGGTGGATAGACAAGTAACCAACTGACACATTATGATTAACTAACATCATATAAAACTAATCAGTAAACTATAATTGTGTGAATGTATTGATAATTATAATTAAGATTATAAACCTTTTATAAATTACAGTCATACATTAAATTCTGCATACTATATCCATACTTTATTAAAAAAAAAGAAGAAAAAGAAAATCCACATAATACTATAAATGAGAACAGATGAGGAAAAAGTTTATGGTAAGACATTTCCTTTTAAACCAGTATGATAAATAACACTTCAGAGGTATTGCTTTGAATCAAAATGAATTTTTACTCATTTGCTTTAGGAAATGTAACTCTCCTTACCTGTAAGCTCTCCGGAAACAGCTTGACAGAGGGTTTCTT